TTCTCTGGGCCAGGGGTCCCAGATACAGAGCATCACCATCATAGGCCTTAGCCTATCTCCAATCACACAGTGCATTAGAGTGGGTGCCTTTCCACCGGAACCTAGGCCATTTTAGATTGCCACCTTCTTGTGATGGCTTAACTTCCTGCTGGAGAGTTCAATCTCATTTCCTGAACCAGCTGATCTCTACAGCTAGAGGAACTAGAGAGAGTTGATATCTCCTAGCTGCCTCCCCCCAACCCCCACTCTGCCTCTGCCTCTCTCCTAGGTCAGAGTGAGGTCTAGGGTTTGTGAGGAGGAGAAATGAGTCATCTTCAGCCCTTCACTGTCACTTGATCCGAAGGTGAGGAGAGGAGGCAACTTGAGAGTGTGTCTTATTTATCTGATGTTGCAAAGGCAGAGATAACAGGAGTAGCTTTAACAAACAGAAATTTATTCTCTCACAATGTGAGAAGTCCAAGTTCAAGGTGTTAATTCTAGGAGAAGCTTTTTCTCTGTATTGATTCAGGAGGAAGGTCCTTGTCTCCTTCGGCATCTGTAGTATCCTTGGAGATCTCCATGCATCTTGTTTTCCTCCCTGTGCTGTCATCTTCTTGGCACAGGGACCTGGATCCAAAGGATTTACTCCACTCCCGGCAGCTCTTCCCTGATAGTCCTAAGCAAGGCTTCCTTAGCCCTCTGCTTGATTTCTTCCCCTTTTATCTCTTGTAAGATAAAAGGTAGTATAGGCCACACCCTGGGGAAACTCCTCTTGTATTGGATTAGGGCTGTGGTGATACCAAGAGTGTTACAATCCACCCTTTATGTACATCAATTTGGCTCATCAGATTATGAAGGATCATTCTATAACTTTCATATTACATCCGCACATTTTGAGGAGACACAGTTCAATTCATGGCTGGAGGTCCTACACACAGGGAGCAACCACCTCTCTGTTCTTCCAGTCAACATGCCACCCCATGCCCCACTAGAGATCTCAGCAGAGGTCCTAGCTGGCTTGCAGAGGTTCTCTGAAGGCCCCTTGTGAAGGAGCAGCCTGGAGCCTGCCTTCCCTGGAGTAGGCTGCCAGTTCTGCTCTCTCTCTCACTCTCTGTGCTGCTTCTATGGTTGGAGCCTGCGGTTTGGCATTTCCTTCCTTACCCAGTTAAAGCCCCAGCAGCCTACAGCCTGGCTGCTACAGATACTGATAAGAGAGAAAAGACCTTTTTTAGAACCCAGAGTAGCTCTGTGACGTGACAGGCTGGGTGGAGCAGGGGCATTAAGGTGATGCTTGGCCCATATGCTTAAGTCATTGCTGAACACTGAGGCTAAACTTGACCACCCTGTTTTAAATTACAAACATACCCCACCCATGTACTCCTCAGCTGCTCTTACTTGTCTACCCACCATTATATGTCTCTGTTCAATAAACTAAGCCATAAATACTATCATTGTGTCATTCCAACTCATAGCAATCCTATGGACAGAGAAGAATTGCACCATGAAGCTTCTAAGGCAGTAATATTAATGGAAGCAAATTGAGACAACTTTCTCCCTCAGAGCAGACGATAAGTTCAAACTGCTGAATCACTGCACCAATTTTTCTTCAATATGCAGGTCTTCCTTACAGTTTTACTTCTTTTATTCTTCTCTTTTAATTACCAGACTCCCTCCACAGTGTGTAAGCTTCTTGAAGGCAGGCAACTTTGTTTTGTTCATTGATGTATCTGCTTAGGTTTTTCACTTATTGTTATTATTTGCTCTAAAGTTGACTTCCAACTCCTGATGGCCCCAACACAAGGGGACGAAACACTCCCTGGTTCTGTGGTTTCCTCATGATTGGTTTTGGATGAGACGACTGTGATCTGTAGAGTTACTATAGGGAGTTGCACTGCTAATCCAAAGGAGGTGCCTCTCAGACAATTCAAATCCACTAATGACCCTATAGGGAGGGGGGGAGAAAAGAAAGAAAGAAAAAGTTAGGTAATATCCTACCTTGCAATTCACGGCCTCTGAATCCCAGTGGAGGGTCAACTATGAGCTGGTTCCAACTTGATGGCAATGAGTGAGAGAGGTTTTACTGGCTGTTTTTGTAAGTAGATTACCAGCCCTTTCTTTTCAGACCATCATAGTCAGGAAGATTCCTGGGCATCTGTTCAGCTTCCTAGCAACACAGACGGACAGTGGCTCCACATGAGGTTTACTGGGTGGCAGTGGGAGTGTAGTGTGTAATCAGGCTCTTAACTAAAAGTCAGCAACTCTAATCCATCAACTGCTCCTGGAGAGAAAGATAGGCAGTCTCTTCCTATAAATAATACAGCTTCAGAAATTCAATGGATAGTCGCTGTGAGTCAGAATCTACTCCTTGGTAGTAGGTTTCTTGTTTTAATTCCTCATGGGACCCCAGTACTACTGAACCACCACTGTTTCTTCACAAAACCTGCCCAGTAAAGAGATGGCATAATACAGGAGGACCTGAAGCTCTTGCTACAGAAGGTCAAGGACTGCAGTCTTAAATACGGATTGAAGTTCAACATCAAGAAAACAAAAATTCTCACCACTGGGACAATTGACATGCATCACGATAGATGGTGAAGAGACTGAGACTGTTCACAGCTTTAGTTTGCTTGGCTCCACAATCAACACTTTTGGTACCAGCAACCAGAAAATCAAAAGACAAATTGCATTGGGAAAGTTTGCTGTCAGGAACCTCTTTAGAATACTGAAGAGCAATGATGTTAGTCTAGAGACCAAGGTGTGCTGGATCCAGGCCATGGTCTTCACAATAATGTTCTATGCATCAGAAAGCTGGGCAATGACTAAGGATGATAGGAGAAATGATGCCTTTGAGCTGTGGTGCTGGAGAAGAGTCTTGAATATACCATGGACTGCTTAGGAGAACAAACAGATTCATCCTAGAGAAAGTGATGCCAGGCTGCTCCTTGGAGGCAAGAAGGTGGGACCAGTCCTTGGAGAGGGACATACTTGAAAGGGCGGTGGGACAGCACCAAAGAGGAGGGCCCTGGATGAGACGGATTGATTCCGTGACTGGGGTAATGGGGGTGGAGGTGTCAGAGACAATAAGATTGGCACAGGATAGAGCAGGGTTCAGAGCTGTTTTACACAGGGTCGCTATGAGTTGCAAGTGACTGGACAGCACATAACAATAATAATAGTTGCACTAGCGAAGCTCTCTTGGCAGCTTGATAGGAGCCTTGAAATGTTGCGTGTCAAAAAAAAAATGTTTTGTGTCAGTTGAGAGAGGAAAGAAATTCCGCAGCATCTCCTCACAGAAAACAAAATGAACCATGACGCAGCAGCAGGGTGACAGTGACAGAGAAGGCGCAGCTGGAGAGCCCCCACCCCTGCTGATCCTGTGGGTCATCACTGAAGACTGAACTGCCAACAATTATGTTGGTGCAGAAACTAAACATTATCTGCTTGCTTTCTTGACCATAACTCCCTGTTTATTGAAACCCCTTTAATTTGTCAATCCTGTTCAACGGAAGAATGCCCAACAGCAGTTTTTTGGGAAATAAAAGTGATAGAGTTGAAGGATTACCTTTGCTAAATTGACATTTTTGTTTTGATCAAATTTGTTGATCTGAGAAAGTCACCTCGACAGAAGGAAGGTGGATTGTGGATGATTCTAGCAGATGGAGCAAGATTCTAGCTGATGGTACAAGGGCTCAACTAGTCACTGTCACAGTACAAAGGGAATTAGTATGAAGATGTGCTGTGTTGAAAGGAGACAGGCTCAGGCATTAGGAAAGCTTCTCTCTGAAGCTGTTGTGTGGGGTGTGGAGGGAAGGCCTTATCATCAACCCATTCATTATGTGACATCTAGGTATCCTTTCCTTTCCCTAGATCCTTGTCACTTCATTTCTAAAATGAAATTGAATTTGAAAACCTCTATGACTCCCCCACCTACCCCATTTCACTAGGCGATAGTGTATCTATTTATTAATGAGGGTGCCTAGGGTCTCAGCAGTGGGCTGTGATAAGAAAGGTTGCAGCCTCATAGCATGCAAGCTGAATGCTTGGGTTTAGGTTGTGCTTGAGCTGTAGTCCTTCTCTGGATGCCCTCCAAATCCTGGGTTTTGGGGAGATGCATCATCATTTGCTAGTGAGTCAACTCTACTCTTAGAGACCCCTTTACATCAAATTGGTCTGATATACTGTGCCTGAAGGCTTTCAAGTCTTTCTTTCAAAGTGTCTCTGGATGAACTTGATCTCCAACATTTCAGTGAACAGCCAAGTATGTTAGCTTTTGCAATATATAGGAATTCTCTCTCTCTCTCTCTCTCATTAAAATATATGTATGTGTGTGTGTGTGTGTGTGTGTGTGTATGTGTGTGTGTGTGTGTGTGTGTTCCAATACCTAAGAGTCTCAGTCAAGAATGACTGTGGGGGAATGGTAGATCAAGGGGACTCCATGCGGCAGATCCTGCATACAGAGATCTGCTTCTCTAAGCCATTAGCAGCGTTGTTGAAAGAATTCATGCCACTGAATAGGTGCCATGGAGAGAATAATGGGAGGAGATTACAACCCTGAGAATTCTGGAAACAAGAGAGGGAACACCATGAGAAGCTAAAGAGGAGTCAGGGAGTCAGCACCAGGAATGTCTGGTGAAATACAGTTCATGAAGCTATAGTATTTCAGACAAGAGGGAAGCCAGCAAGACTTCATGGAGAGGCTTCAAAGCAGAACTGGACAGAAGATAGAGCAGCAAAGATCAGCGGGGAGGTGGGGGGTGTCAGCTCGAGCAAGGCCTTGCAGGACAAGCCTGTGACAAGCCTGGAGAGGAAGTAAGAGGCAGAGGGTGACCATGGAGGTGAAGGAGGCTGAGCTAGCTGGAGGCCACAGCAGCGGGGGAGGAGGCTGGCCAAGGGTTGGTCCTGGAGCTTTGGCAAACGTTCTGTGAGCAGATCAGAGAACTCAGGGCGAAGGTTGACCGGGGGAGGAGACTGTGGTTTTTGTCTCTTTCTCGGTGAGCCCACCGTGCTCTTTTATCTTGTAGGATTCTCAGTAAATTAAGTCAGGAAATCAACAAGAATGAAGAGAGGAGGAGCATCTTCACACGCAAGTGAGTGGGCAAATTCACCAGACTAGCTGAAATGAAACTCAAACTCAAGTCAGAATATTTATATCCTGGGTTTTAACTTCAGACCCAGGGGCTTTTAAGCTGATGTCCAATAAGAGAACAGGTCTCTCTCCTTACTCCAGGTCCCACCGCAGATCTGGGACAGTGGGGCACTTCCTCTGGGGTGTCTGGCAATCATGAGAACCAGCCACGTCATTCACTGTGGCTTGGTGGTCTCCAGAATTCTGAGGGCAGCCTCACTCCTGATGGCAAAAACCAAGGACACAGGTCATAGGCAGTAAGACAAGCCCTCCTCTGGGGCTCCTCTCATAGGGTTGAACAGAAGAAGGAGGGAGGGCTCCTGGAACATACAGCCCACTAATGCCCTGCTCTTTGCCTTTTGCAGACCTCAAGTCCAGAGGTTTCCTGAAGAGACAGGTAAAGATCTTGGGTTGAGAGGTGACAGGTCCATTCTTCCATCTTTTGGTTGATAAAGTTTCTAAGCTGTCAGACAGAGTGGCTTTACTTGGGTGTGTGGTGCCAGTTCGTATCAAAAAGAGGACTGTGGTTGGAAATGAAGGGAGGAGAAATGCCCTTTTCTAAAGTCCATGGTGTATGGCCACTACCCAGCTGGGGCCTCCTGCAGAAACTATCAAGAAATTCTGGGTTCCCCCTTCAGATTTACTGGAAGGACATAGCCATTGACTCAGCTCCTGAATCAAAGCCTGCTTCAGTCTTTTTGGCACCTTTTCTCTGATGAATTGTAGATAATATAAAAAAAAAAACCCAAATACCAGATTCCTAGGCTCCACCATATTAACCATAGTTTATTCAGTTATGACAAATTCTGGCTAACACTGAGAAGAATGGAAATCCAGAACACTTAATTATGCTCATATGAAACTTATAACAAGAGCAAGAAGCTGTTGTCCAAACAGAGCAAGGGAATACTGCATGGTTTAAAAGCAAAGAAGGTGTGTGTCAGAGTTGTAGCTTTTCTCCACATGTACTGAATCCGTATACTGGACAAATCATTCAAGAATTTGGACTCTGAAGAGTGTGACATCATCATAGGAAGAAGACTCATCAATTACCTGTGTTACGCAGATGATACAAACTTGCTTGTTGAAAGTGAAGAGGACTTTAACACTTGCTGCAGATGATCAATACCCTTCGATACGGATTGCATCTCAACATCATGAAGACAAAAATCCTCACCGGTGGACCTATACACAGTATTACGATAGCTGGAGAAAAGATTGAAATTGTTGATTACTTAGTTCATCTTACTTAGATTCACAATCTAAACCCTTGCTACCAGCAATAAGGAGATCAAGAGACATATTGAGAATGTCCATTGTCAGGGACTGCTCCAAATTACTGAGGAGCAATGATGTCAGTTTGAAGGCGAGGTGCACCTGATTCAGGCCAGGCTCTTATAAATTACTTGCTATGCATCTGAGAGCTGGGCAATGAAAGGATGAAAGAAGACTTGATGCCTTTAACTGTGGTTTTGGATAATGGAACTGAATATCCACCAACTGTCAAAAGAACAAATAGATATGTCTTGGGGAAAATGTAGCCAGAGTGTTTGTTCCTTGGAGGGAAGGATGGTGAAGTTTTGTCTCGCATATTTTGGGCATTTTTTTTAGGAGAGGCTATTCCTTAGAATGGGATATCATGCTAAGAAAAATGGGAGGTCAGGAAAAGGCAGGAAGACTCTCAGTGAGATGGACTGACATTGTGACTGCGGCAACAGACTCCAGAGTGTCAGAGATGATGAGGATGCACAGGATAGGACGGGGTTCACATCCCTTGTTCACAGGGCTGCTATAACAACAACAGACTCCACCAGGTTCTAGTGAGTCCAAATCTCTCGAGATGGGGCCCCAGGTGTATGTGTTTTTTAAAACACCTCTTAAGTGTGTTTTATTAAAGACTAAGAGCTTCTGCACTATCGTAGAAATTGTAGAGCTGGTGTAAAGTTGCTGGCTTTTGTTAAGCGTAGGTGTACTGAGGGTAGAGTGGAGACCTAGGAACGAGCAGTGAGTGGGTCCTCAGGGGGAGGAACAACTTGGACTTTGTTCTAGAGGCTTCATCCGGTTCTCATGTTGCCTTTGTCTCCTCCCACAGAAAACCACGAAGAGGACAATGGGGGCTGGTCATCCTTTGTGAGTATGGCTTAGGTTGCCCTTCCACACGTGAAGTATTTTCCAGAATGCCTTTTAAATAAGGAACAAATGAATGCTTGAAGCAGCACAGCTTCTAACAAGAGGCCAGGATAATTGCCTAAAGGCCAGAATTAATTTTTTCCTGTCAAATTCCAAATAGAAAAAAATTTCAGCATTGTGAACCGTGCAGTCTTTGCTCAACTTTTCAACTCTTCCATTCCAGCACCAAAGACAAAGTGTGAATTATGTGGCTACGTGCTAATTAGCCTTGTGTTACAAAAGCAGGTGCAGTGTGCTGGCCCCTTCATGACCTGTCATTTCCATCCTCGCAGTGTGGCCTTACCCTGCTCCATCTCTAATGCAGCTTTTCTTGTGGACTTAACTCACCACTACTTGTACCATGGGAAATGGCTTTCAGCATACACTAGGAGACCTCAGTAGAAACGGCATCACAGAGGGGGCAACCAGGCTGATTTTTGCAGCTGAGGAGCCACAGTGACTATTTGATTCTGGTAAATGCTGTGAACCGCCTCCCCAGAAAACCACAGATATGGTTAGCACACATGGTGTGTTAAGTCAAGTTGATTCCAACTCTGTACTATACCATGGTGTCAGAGCAGGGCTGTGCCCCACAGGGGTGTCGGTGTATAGTATTCTTGATGGAGATCTCCAGGCCTTTCTCTTGTAGCCCCGCTGGGTTGATTTGAAGTTCCATTCTTACCATTAGCAGCTAAGTGTGTCACTTCATTCAGGCTAAGAGCTTCTTTCTGGTTCAAGGACCTATCTTTTTCTCCTCAATCGTTTTCTTAGATTATTAAATTGAGCCCTTGAAGAACATGACACATTTAATAAAGCCATTCAGCTAGTTAGCAACAAACGTGGGATCCAGATCACTGACCTTAGTCAAATGGTCTTTCAGGTAAGCAAATCCCTCTAGTTCCATTATAAAGACACAAAATATTCTGGGCTTACTAGGATTCCAGAAAAAGAGTATTTCAATTAAAAAAATGCCAGTTAAGTCTATATATTTCATATAGAAACACAGGAATAAGACAGATGTATTGTGTACAACAGAATAAATAGGCCAGCTTTCCCCTAAATTTCTGTATTTTCACATAAAAGCCACATCTTCGCAATGTTTGGCCAAGGCACAACTTCTCATCCTTGCCCATAAACCAAAGTGTTTCCACGAGTCAGAAGGTATAAAGCTCTGAGGTTGCATTCATTACGTGCCCAGCACTGCCTAGGACACTACAAAGTGGGGAATAAAGTGCTTCATCCCACGAACACCCCACAGGATGGGCAGCACATCACGTGGAAGAATATATCTGAGAACAAGATGGTCATAAAAACATGGCATCAACTGATTAGGAGGGAATTGTTTTAGAAGCAGAGAGGAGAGGTCTCTGGCATTAAGAAAGACTTATGATGTAATGCCCGCTTGGGAACAATGATTGGATTTTGTTTGACAGGCCAGGAAGGACAGTACCATTCTAGAAGGGCAACGGTTTCCTGAACTCAGTGCAGAGATGTTGTTTCAATGTTTAATAGCGCTCTGCTGCTAGCTAAAAGATTGAGTATTTGAATCTATGCCCCAAGTCTGTAGAAGAAAGATACGGTGATCTGCTTCCAGTAAAGATCAAGATAAGGAAATCCACAGAGCAGACCTGTTCTGTTGCATGAGGTCACTGTGAGTCACAATCGACCCCATGGTACTCAACAATTGTTATATTACAAGAAAACCAACAGGACAGGACTAATCATTTTTTGAGTTCAAGAAAAATTTAACCCTTAACGTACTTTCTAGTGTTTTGTTTTAAATACCCCCTCAAGCCAAAACCCAATTATAATAGGTTTTCAATTCCAATACCAGTTTTTCTTAAATCATACCCAAAGACTGTCAGGATTTCTGTGGTACATACTTTCTAGGCCGAGGTGTGATCATCACCTTGTTCTTTCAACAGTGCTCTTGACTGGACAGAGAAGTGCATTGGGCTCCTTTCTTTGCTCACCTAGTCTTGGAATGAAATTGATGAGCTACTCATCACTCAGACACTGATAGTTCTCCTTCTAGTTGGAAGTCATTACCATGACTGTCCACTTTTATAATTTGTTGTCATCAAGGTGACTCACTGAAAAAAAAGTGAGATGGGGGCATCTGGTCTCCTCTGACTTCGTAAGTAGGAAGAAAAAAAATCAAGATCAGCAGCCATCTCTCTCAGACTTTTCATTTCTCTGCTAAATTCAATAATTTGTAGCAATGGCCACATAGACTTCAGACAATATTCAAAATGATGAGATTTATTAGGGAAGTGGTTGTTAGATGCCATTGAGTCAACTTAAAATGCATAGAGACTATATGAAGCACAGATCAAAATCTTACTCTACCTTGTGTAATTCCCATGACCTTCACTTTGTTCAAGCTCCTTGCTAGAGTAGCTGTGTCAGTTCATCTTATTGAAGGTCTTGATATCTTTCACGGAGTCTACTTCTCTGAGAGCATTTTTCCACAGTGACTGATCCCTTCTGACAACTTTGCCACTGGTTCACATCCTCCAAAACAGATTTGCTTGCTCTTTTGACAGTCCAGACTATTTGGTACTTTTCTCCAAAACTACAATAAAAAGGCATGATTCTTCTTCTTTCATTTTTTAGGAATTTAATAGGTTACAATTCAGGAGCAGAAAAGAATTAGAATACGATCCTTCAGTCAGTGCAGCTTCTCAGCCACGTCCACATGCAGGCTTCTGCTTGGCCCCTCTCACCCTTCAGTCCCTTGGCTCTCTGGACCTCTGGAGCTGGCCTGCTGTCTGCTTTGCTTCAACAAGGGCTGTAAAGCTCTTTCAGCTCCACCAGCAAGCTCCTTTCTCTTCTCCACCAATAAGCTACAGACTGAAAGCATTTAACTCTTTCAATCCACCATGTCAGAGTAGAACCATGCTCCATAGAGTTTCCAATGGCTGAATATTCAGGAGTCATCAAGCCTTTCTTTCAAGTTGCCTCTGAGTGGATTTGAACCTCCAAACTTTCAGTTACCACTGGAAGTTAACCAAGGAGTCTATTAATATTCATAAACTGCTCAAAGACACTCACCCAGCATCTAGTACTTTCTTTTTCTGAGACCCATGAAGAAGCAGAGCTAACACAAAAGAAAAAAATTTTAAACACATCCTTTTCAAAAAAGGAACTTTAACAAATCAGTAGCAGATACCATGATAATAGCTATCATTTTTCAACTCTCTGAAAAAGAGAATAGCACAGCTTCTGACCATCTTCTCTCAGATGACTTAATCTGTCTTCTAATTAGTAGATTTTGGTTGTCTGGCTTCCTCTAGTTGCATGGTCGTCAACATGATGCTAGATTCTGAGAAGGTTTGGAGTGTGGACACAGGAAGCACAGAGCTAGCAATTAGCTGGTGTCCCCAAGACTCTCCAAGAGTGCAGACTGCTCTTCATGACGCCCTGATCACAAAGACGTCCTCACTCACAACAGAGCCCAACCCCCACTGCCAGGGCCCTGCTCCTGATTTCTTTTGCTTTTCTTTATTGTGAAAAAAAAAAACCCACTAAAAAAGTATGGGAGTGGGGAATGGGATACACTTGACAGCTGCTAATGAAAATGTTAGAATTTTAAATTCAGCCAGAGTAGGCTCCGAAGAAAGGCCTAGCCTGTTCTGAAAAATCAGGCATGGAAGCCCTACTGTTCTAGTCAGAGCAGTTCTGCTCTGACACCGTGGGGTCGCTGTGAGCTGGAATCTACTTGTTGGAAACTTTACAAAAATGATTAGAAACTCATGAAGGAGAGTCTTTCACTGTTGGCTGACTCAGTGATCTTGAGCTTCCTGACCTCAGCTTCTCCATCTGTAAAATGGGAGTGGCTGCCTACCTTCAAAAGTGTGCTGTTGTGAGGCTTGAGAAAAGAAATAGACCAGCATCCATGGAACAATGCCAGAAAGCCTCTACAAACTGTGCTCTTCCTGCCACTGTGTGTCACAGGAAGAAGATGACTATGAAAGTCCCAATGAGGACCAGGAGGGGCAGGATGACGATGACTATGAGTCCCCCAACGAGGAGGGAGAGGCGCCTGTGGAGGACGATGCTGATTATGAGCCACCTCCCTCCAATGATGAAGAAGCCCTTCAGAACTCCATCCTGCCCGCCAAGCCTTTCCCCAACTCCATGTACATCGGTAAGGGCCTGCTTCTTGATTTCTGACCCTGGCAGCCTAGGAACAAGCTCCCCCAGTACTGCACGGGAGGCCGTTGCCTACCTTACCTCCATTCAGCACAAGAGTTGGATACTGATGCCAACTCAGCTTGTTATCAGATTTAGATTTTGTGCAAGAAACTTCACATCTCTGGTTCTCAGCTTCCTTATCTTTAATATGGGAACAATGATAATATAGATCACTAATAACATGAACCACATAGGCTTGCTTTGAGGATTGCCAATAAAGCAGAAAAATCATTGGGTTAGGTTGCTGTTACCAGAATTCAATTTCTGTGTGACAGTATGTATGTATCATTTGTGTGTGCACAGATCAGCCTTTGTGCAGGTATGCCCCTGTGTGCATGTGGGAGTGTCCATGTGTGAGGGGCATATGTGTGCTACCTTACAATACTGTCTAAAAATATTCCATCCTCGTATGGGTTTAGTTAGTCTAAAGTAGAAGGATATCCTATTGGGTAAGGAATTGTTCTGCCAACCCGAAGGCATGCAGTTCAAATCCACCAGGTGCTCTGTAGGAGAAAGATGGACAATCTCCTCCTATGCAGTTGACAGCCTACAGGTGGGTTTTGACTCTACAGCAATGAGTTTGAGTTTTAGGTGCAAAGAGTCCCTTTTTCACACTTTGAAACTAAATATGTTTATTTTTTATATATTGTATATTCTTTTTTTAATATAATATATACATCATATATTCTTTTATTTATATATTATAGTATATTTTCTTTTACTTATATATTATATATTCTTTCATTTATATATAATACATAAATATATAGTAGACTTTATAAATATATACTATATCATAATAATTATATATAACAATTATAATAACTGTTCTAGTATATTTATATACATATATAATACATAAATATAGATATCTATTAAACAAACATATAATTTATATGAGTTGAAGTCAAAGTTACCCCTGAGCATAAAGAGAGTAAAATAAACTAACTTAGGAATTGGGGTAGGCATGAGGCCAAGGTCATCCTTTTCCTTGTAAAACTCAAGTCTGGGACAAGTCCTTCCCCACAGCTGGGATGACACAGAGGATGGTCTGGGTTCAGGCCGGGTGCCCCCGCTGCCCTGGGTCACGCAGAGTGAGCACAGGACCTGTTCTCGGATCGTCTGTGAGTTTGTCCAGCTCTTTGGTTTAGCATTTCTCCTCTCATTATGTTGTTATTTGCGGCTATAGCTGATCCATCATTGGGTTTTCAGAGGCAGTTGATCACTCAGAAGGAGATTCTCCATCCTTCTCCCGCAGGGCAGAAGAAGGATTCGAACTGCTTACCTTTGTCACTGCGCAGCTTACCACCAGGCCACTGGAGCGCTCATTTTAGTATCCTTGACTTTCCACAGACCGGCCGCCCTCCTCCAAGGGCCCCCAGCAGCCTCCTGTGCCCCCCCAGAGACCAATGGCTGCTCTTCCCCCGCCTCCGGCCAGCAGGAACCATGGGGTAAGCGGACCTACGTGGTGGGCACTTGGTGAGCAGCCAGAGGGGAAGGAAGGACCAGAAGCTACTAACATCTTTAATACTAACACTGTCTTCTATATAAGATAGTATGTAGAGTCTGGGAAAATGACTAAATATCCAAAGTTGGTAGGGGTAGGAGAGTGTTAGGGAGACTGGTGACTTTTATTCAAGCCAACATGATTTTTTAACCATAAACATTATAAAATATTTATATAGTAGCATACAAAAATTGTAGTTTGTTTTGTGCCATCGTTTTCTACCCTTGGAAATAATTGGGAACTCTGAAATCTATGCTAAGAAAATGATCTAAAATGACTGGCATCTACCAACAATGTGCAGGACACAGGCCTTTCTCATCTGTAAGGACTTCCGCCACCTGCTGGCCAAGTCTCGAAATGACAGGGCACACATGCCTTAACCTCACAAGGGTTACAAGAACGCACAATCCGTAAATCGGCTTTAATCTTGGTCCTGTGAATCTAGTTACATACGCAGAGAGACTTTGAGAAGTTCAGGCTAAGGAGTCAATACTTGGAAATGTGTTCTCTTTGCAACTGACCTGCACACCTAGGAGTGTGCTAATGGCAAAATGTAAAATGCAGATGACACCAGAGTTGGAGTGTCTAACCAAAGAAGAGCTTGTCCGCTGGTGCTTTTGCAATTCCCGTCAACAGGGAGCTCTTGATTCTGAATTCATTGACAAATGCGTTTTGCTACTGAAAACTGATCGAGTCTTCCCAGAAGTATCTTGGAAGAAAGACCTGGAAATCTACTTCCAAAAAAAAATATCCATTGAAAACACTCAGGAACACAGGTTTCCTATGATACAGCTGGGGTAGCTATGAGTGGGAATAGACTCAAAGGCAACTGAAAAGATAAAAACTGAATGCCTTCACTTCCAGTTGTTAGGATATAGCATTCTCTCCGTTAACAGCTATTTATTGATCATCTATTCAGTGCCAAGAAATGCTTTAAGTGCTCAGCAGGTGGTCTTAATTTTTATGAAGCTCGGGTGGCCTGGTCTGTACAAAGTTGGTGGCACCTCTTCGCTAGTTAGCATCCACCAGCAGCTCTGCAGGAGGCAGCTGGGTAGTGTCCTCCCCTGTGATTTAGAGCCCTGGAGAATTACTGGAGGGTCATTATGAATGGTTCTCACTTGATGGCAATGAGTTCTAGGGATTGTTTTGGTTTGGGGGCAGTTTCACTATCAAGTTCAGATTTTGATCAAGGGAGATAGATAATAAGCAAGTAAACAGATGTAGAAACAAGATAATTTCGTTGTCATGGTTGACAGGGGGCCAGCTGAGGAAATGCTGGATGGGGAAGGACACGGAGCTAGGAGAGAATGAGCCATTCATGGGAAGAGCCATGAGAAGGACATTCCTGGCTGAGGGAAGCACAGTACAGAAATGCCAAAGAGGGTGTGTGCTAGGGACTTTCTAAGGCTGTAAGAAGACCCTTTTGGTGCACTTGTAGTGAGCACTGCGGAAAGGACAAGAAAGGGTTGGAAGAGGGACAGGAGTCAAGTGTGTTTTTATTCTGTTCTGAATGTAAAGGAGCCTTTGGAGGGTTTAGCAGCGGAGTATTGTGCTCGCTCAGCTGTCATGCAAGAAGAACTGCTTTGGCTGAGAGCAGACACAGCCAGCTCAGCTAAGAGGCTACTGTGGAAGTTTGGGGGAGAGAGGTTTGAGGGCGGAGTCTCTGGGTGGTACTAATGATTAAGGAGCTCAGGTGCTAACCAAAAGTTTGCAAGTCTGAGCTCACCTTGAGTGCTTTGAAGAAAGGCCTGATGACCGGCTTCTGAAAAACTAGCTGTTGACAACCCTGTGGGACACAGTTCTACTCTGACACACACAGGTCTCTGCCAGTTAGAGTTGAATTGACAGGGACACTGGGTGCTGGCGCGTAGAAGGATTACAGCAAAGGAAAAAGACGACATACATACATTTGGGGAGATGAAGCTAACAAGACTTGCCGAGGTGCTGGGAATACTTCCTAAATTTTCCCTTTTTTCTAAGCAGCCTTTACCAACACCACAGTCTAGTCACGAAGAACCTAATAGAAGCAGACACTCCAAAACACCAAAACGTGAGTATGACGTCTGCCTCCTCTAGCCCACCTGTACTGCCACCCACAGCCAAATGCCTTCTTACTTCCACTGACATTTTCTTCTCCTGCAGTCCCTGCTCCTTCCATAGACAGAAGCAAGAAACCACCCCTGGATCGGACACTAGCTCCACTTGACCGAGAGCCCTTCACACTAGGTTGGTAATAGTTCTTTCTTATGAGCTTGGTCTTCTTGTTCTGTGTGAAGAAAGGATCTCCGGTAATGTAGGCATTGTGTATTGGGCTTCTAACGATGGGTGTTTGTGGGAGAAGTCTCCTGTCATAAAGATTTGCAAACCTAGCAATGCAACGGAAGGTTGCCGTGTGTCAGAATTGATGGTAGTTGGTTTGGTGGGGGGAAAAATGTATTTAGCAAAAGTTGAACTCTTGTAAAATGTTGAGACTGTTTTATTATCTATATATGGGGTTTACAAAACAGTGGATATGGATATATGATCTATAGTCCTTGTCCCCTAAAATTTACACAGAATATTCTTGAATTGTAGTCAGTCCCACATGGGGTGGTTTCCAATTTAATCCTAAATCTTAGCTACCTCAACAAGATGGATTGACAAGTGACTGCAACAATGGGCTCAAATGTATCAGTGCTGATGAGGATGGGACAGGATGAGAGAACATGGTTCACATCTGTTATTTATTCTGCCACTATGGATCATATTCAACTCAATGGCACCTAACAACAAAAACAACCATAATTTATTGAACACCTGCTCAGATAAATCCTTGTAATCCCACACAAGAAAAGCAGTTGCCCTCCGTAGAGTTTTCAATGGTTGTGACCTTTTGAAATTAATTTGCCAGGTCTTTCCTTTGAGGAGACTCTGGGTGTGTTTGAACCACTAACCTTTTGGTTAGTGGCTGAGCACTTATTTTGTGCCACTGACAGACTCTCAATAACAAATTTAAAAGACAAACAAACAAGCAAAAGGTTCCTGTTGTCAAGTACAACATTTTAAGGACAGGCTAGAATGTCTGCACAGTTTCCAAATCTGTAGCTCTTTACAGAAGCAGATTACCACATCTTTCTCCTGAAGAGCAACTGGTGAGCTTGAACCACAGACCTCTGGCTAGCAGGCAAATGCTTAATTATACCACTAAGGGTCATTAACCCCACCAAAATATGGGTTTTATAACTCTGCATGGACAGAATTGGAAGAAAGGTGGACAATTTTTCCAAATCTGAGGTTGAAGACGTGTCCTTAGGGAGTCAGAGCCGGCATCCCTTTCTGCATCGTGCTACAGTTGACAATTCTAAATTTTTACATGCTGTGAGTTAGGGAGGTCTGAGAAAGGAGGCCCATACTTGAAGTGATAAAGAGACCAGAGTCCTACCTTCAACTCAGTTTAATTACATGCTGAGCGGATCATCTGGCCTTCTGTGGCTTCAGTCTCCTCATCAGCCTGTGAAACAGCGTCCAGGTCTCACACTGGAGGCTGCTGCTTGCTAATGTTTTCTCAGCAGCTATTTGCTCTGCTGGGCCATGCTAGTGTTTGAGTCGTGACTTGCCTGCGAAGAGCTGCACAAGTTGAGTGAAAATGAAGGCAGAAACTTCAGACTCTTACTCAGCTCACTCACTACATAAGCCAATGGATCAGAAAAGTGAAACAAATTCAAACTCAAACCCAACAATTGCCTTGGATAATTTTGCAACGCAGAGCTTTCAGCCTGGCATCTCTTAGGTATTACAATGCCATTTTTTTCCTTAGGAAGAGAGTGAAATAAACAAATAAAAAAAAATAATAGCAAAAATAGTGACAACCAAAACAATTTGCAGCACACTAGCAGAATCTCGGGATCCCCTCGTACAAGTGTGCTGTGTGCTCAGGTGATAGCTTGCAGCTCAGCATCCATTTGGAGCTGCATCAGAGGAAAGACCTGCCAATCTGCTCCTGAAAACTCACCCATTAAAATTCTACAGCATTTTTTCCACGGAATTCCACTCTGACACCCCTGCGGTCTCCATGTGTCAGAGTTGACTTGATGGCAATGAGTGTGAGAATTTCTTAAAATATGCCCCAATTAAAAGTTTCTCCAGAAATACTTCTCAAGAAACAAAAGGACTACTTTATTTAATATCAAATATAACACAGGATTGGAGAAAGACTCATTATCAACCTGCATGGCATAGATGACACAACCTTGCTTGTCGAAACTAAGGAGGACCTGAAATGTTTGCTGCAGAAGGTAAAAGACTGTAATCTTCAACATAGATTGCATCTCAACATCAGGAAAAGAAAGGTTCTCACTACTGAGGCAATTGGCATAATCCTGACAGATAGGAGAAGAGATTGATGTTGTTAATAATTTTACCTTGCTCAGATCCACAATCAATACTCTTGACACCAGCAGTCAGGATGGTTGGGAAAACATGCTGTCAGGGACCTCTCCAGAGTGTTGAAGAACAAAGATGTCATTCTAGACCAAGGTTCACCTGATCCAACCATAGTCTAGTCAATTACTTGCTATCAATCTGAGAGCTGAATGACTAAGGATGGCAGAAGATAATTTGATACCTTTGGGTTGTGGTGCTGGAGAAGAGTACTGGACATACCGTAGACTATAAGAGAACAAACAGGTCTGTCCTAGAGAGGATGAAACCAGATTGCTCATTAGAAGAAAGGATCTTGAAGCTCTATCTCATATACTTTGGATGTGTTGCCAGTAAGGTCCTTACTGCATGAGAAGGTCCCCACGTATGAGAAGGATATCATGCTTGGAAGGGTAGAAGGTCAGCATGGGAGAGGATGACCCTGGATGAGACGGATTGATATAGTGACGTGGCAATGGGGTCAGATATGTCAGATATGTCAGATATTGAGGTTGGCAGAGTTCAAAGCCATTGTCCATAGGGTTGCTATGAGTCATAGTTGACTCCAAGGCACATAACAACAACAACAATAACATACTATAGGATTAAAGGAAAGGTAATCCTTCCATGGCACACTGATTTTATTTAAAATATGAAAATAAACTTAGACAATAGCACAAAGGACACCTGGGCCAATAAAAGAGATTTAAAATCCCAAAAGACACAAAGCCTTCTTTTTTTTTAATCATCATTACAGAAAATAAAATATTAAGAAGCATAGAATCCACAGTACTCTTGGTATGTATGCAAAGCTCTGTGAGCTTGGACAAGTAATTTTAATGTTTCAAGCCTTTAAAGTCAGGAGAGCTCTAGTGACGTAGTCTGTAGGGAGACTTGCTGCTAACCTAAAAGGTGATGTGTCTCCAGCAGTTCAAATCCAATGACGCTAAGAAAGAAAGCCGGGCCATCACCCCTGCATGCTTTACAGCCTCGGAGACTCACTGGAAAATCAACTCTGAGTTAGTTGCCACTCAGCTGAGATGAGGCTCAACAGCAATGAGGCTGTTTTGTTTTGTTTTTATATCATTAGATACTCTCTAAGGGAAACTTCTTGATTGGAAGCAATGCTTCTTCAATGCTAAATACTAACAGGCTCAGAAACTCAGGATTTTATCAAACTGTTCTTATATTTTTGTTATCATGATTTCAACAAAAGTTCAGAGTAGTTGGATTTTCTTTCATTCACTGTTGCACATTTTCCTCTCCTCCCCCATCCGCCAAGTTCACTTTTAAAAAAAAAACCTACCACAACCGCACATTATTGCGTAATTTCCGCCCTCCCCCAATCCACTTTGCTATGCACCTCTTATTCTGGGCTGTTGTTATACAGATAATGTCTAATCATGTATTCCTTTTAAACAGCTCTTTCTTTCATCTGTTCCAATGCAGTGTTCATTATTTATCCCCTCTTTTCTCAGTTTACTACCAACCCCCATGTCATAACAGTGGCGTTATGCAGTGTTTGTCTTTTGGTGACTGAGATTTTTCACTCTTCATGATGTCCTCCAGGGTCACCCATGTTGTGTAATATTATTTTAGTCCCTTGTTTTTCAGTGCTATGTAGTATTTCATTTATGCACATTCATATTTATTGCTGGGTTATTCACAATAGCAAAAAAACTATGTTTTCAAACTGCATGTTTACTAAGTCCTGAATTAATAATCTTTCTTCATGACTGTCTTATACAGGAAGGAAACCAGCAATTTCTGACAAGGTAAGCTGCTTTTGTTTATTTGTTTTAATCCTTTTATGTCTTGTCCTTATTCCTTAAAAAGAACTGGGGAAACTCATACATCTCCCTTACTGTTTTACAGCCTGCGATTCCAGTTCCAACAAGCAGGTAAGACCTTCTGTTGCATTTGCATCAAGGTACAGGGTGCAGGCTGTAGAATTCTGTTTCTCATACAGTGTTTCTCTGAATTACCCAGGCCTCTCGGAGAGCATTTACCCAAGATACCAAAGCCTCCTTTGCCACCAACTACTGAAAGACATGAAAGAGCACCCTTGCCAGGGAAGAAGCCATCTGTGCCAAAGTAACTGTCTTCTTTTACTTGAACTTGTTATTGAAAAGGGGGCACACTTTTGACAGACTGTGTTGGAGAAAGAATGAGGGACATTGTCAGGTGGGAGTGAGCTTCTTTTCCTGCTGCTGTTGAGAAAAATTCTGACTACTCAAATAAGATATACCAGCATTTCTGTGGAGGAAAAGGTAATCAGCAGATAGACGAATAGAAGAGTTGTTAAATTGGAAGTATGAGATTCAGTGCTGTTTGTGGAGAGCTTGTCCTCAGACCGGCAAATATTTGGTTGTATTTTCCTAGTCCGTGAAAGCAAAGTCTTCGCTGTGTAGAAGATCTGCACTGATCATGTTCTTTTTAATACAAGGAGCAAAGGGGAAATGGCTTGAAGCAGGGGTAGGTTTTGAGGTCACTGTAAGTAGCTTACTCACTGCTCAACCACACTTGCTAATTGTAGAATACTGAGGTCCGAACTAGCATGTGTAACTTTACTGTAAAGTTATTTCAGGCTTGTTAACCAAAAAGTGCAAATGTATCTGAGCTGAGGCCTCATCTCACTACTTGTTAAGCATAATACCAAGGCTTCGACTTATTGTGTGTGTGAAAGGGGATTCATAACCATGGTCACTGTTTAATTTGCAAGGCTCAAATACAGACCAGGGCTGGTTTGTTAAGTGTCTTCAACCGACTCTTGGTCACCTCTCATACACAAAACCAAAACCTAGCCCAGTCCTGTACCATTTTCAGGGCCTTTGAAGTGTTGGAGCCCCTTGCTGAGGCTACTGTGTGAATCCACCTTCCTGAGGATCCCCCTCTTGTTTGCTGACCTTTTACTTGACCCGACACAATGTCCTTCTCCAGCTGTTGGTCTCAATGATATGTCTAAAGGAAGCAAAAATCTGACCATCTTCACTCTAAGGAGCATTGTGGGTCAGGGCTAAAGTGGGCCCAAAACTCAGTAATCAAATTAAATAATACTGCAATGCAGTATGTTAATAAATAAAAATGAATATAAAATGAAACATTAACAAACAAATTAGTAAAGGATTAAACAAAGACAGGATGAGATGGTGGCATGTGTATTATAGATGTGGTTAGGAGTTGTGCTGCCAACCCAAAGGCAAGCAGTTTGAATTCACCAACTATTCTGGGGAAGAGTAGTAGGAAATCTCCTCCCTTATAATTTACAGCCTCTGAAAAATCCTCAAGAGTGCCATCTATAAGTTACTTCTAAATCAATGGCATGTACAACAATGTGTGTGTGTGTGTGTGTGTATTTACAGCCCCCCCCAGGAGAACAAAGTAAAAGGCCATAAATCACAACAACCTGCATAATTGCAAGCAGCTGTCAACAAATCTGTGACTGGCTTGATCTAACTTTATTGATCCCCTTTTGGAAAAGTCCCCAAACAGCAACATTTGTCTACTGTCTTCTCCACACATGCAGCAAGAACCCTGAGACAGCTGTTTCAAGAGTGTCAGCAAAGGACAAAATTGCCTAAAATGTTTTCATTTGCTTGGAGAAACATCTACTCAGTGAAATTTAATAGCTACTAAAGAGTTAGTTTGCTGACTAAACCATTTTTTTATACATAGATATATAATTATTTGCTGCAGTAGCTAAACAGAATAAAGGTTTGCCTAGCTCAGCTCAGAATGATGACAGAACATTGAGTAACCAGACCTCCTTCCCTCCCTTCCCACAGCCTTACTGCTGGGGGTTTGCTTCCCATATTACCATGCACGGCTCAGTGGCCTTGATTTCTCATGATTAAATTAAGTGAGCTTGCTGTATAGTCTAAGACTGACTCTTGCGAACCCCTTATGTTCTATTGTTTTTCTTTTCACTGATTTATTTCAGACACGGATGGGGACCAGACAAAAGAGAGAATGTAAGTACAGACTGTGTGTTGTAAATGCTTTAACTAGGGGACGCCAATCCAGAGAGGCACTTTCCCAGCGTCAGCCTTCTGGAGGTTGGGACTACGTCTGTCTCGGCCTTCGATGACTCTCAGGCTGGCCCACAGTGGGAATTTGAATCCTTGGGAACTTCCCCTAATTCCAACCAAGTTGTACTGCTTAGTTCCTGCTTCACAGAGAGCACCCAGGACAGCTGGGTCAACTGTAGGCCCATTAACATTAAAATAATAATAATCATAATGAAATGCTGAGTTGACTCTGACTCACGGTGACCTGTATGTATCAGAATAGAGCTGTGTTCTCTAGGATTTTTAAGCGGCTGTTTTTTAGGGAGTAGATTGCTATGCCTTTCTTCTTCTTCTGAGGCAACTCTGGGTGGATTCAAACCCCCAACCTTCCTGTTAGCAAGCAAGCATGCTCAGCATCTGTACTACTCAGCAACTCCTGCAGCCCCATTACCAGGTGGTAAATAGCACTGTGAGTGATAGAGAATAAAAGGAAAGACAAAACAAAGGATGAAATTCAAGTCAAAGTTTTTAACATTAATGACTTACAATATCTCCAAGACTTGGGAAAAAATATTTAAAAAAATTAGTATTTAGTGATTACCTACTGTGTGCAGGTGGCCATGCTAGCCTAAGGAAACCTACTGTACTGGCTTACTGATTTTTGTTTTGGGTTTGGTTTTTTTTTCCATTTTAGCACTGAATGTTTCATGAGTTGGGAACCTCCCTAGTCCCAGGGAAACCAGGATGGCTGAGCATAGCTTTGCCTGTTTTTGACATTTCTTGATCCTGTGAGGAATCATCCTCTCCTTTTTACTGAAAAGAAACTGAGGCTTGGGAGGAGGTACACACATACCTCAAGTTGCACAGTTAGTAAATTGCTAGAATCTGAATCTGGCCTGGCCTGTCTATTAACCTCTGTACTATTTCCTGGAGGTCCCAGATAGCACAAAGGAATGGTTAACACACTCGACTGAAATGTCAGTAGCTTGATTTCACTCAGAGATGCCTCAGATGAAAGGATGTTATTGTTGTTGTTTGTTGTTGTTGTTAAGTGCCGTTGAGTTATAGACGACTCACAGCAGCCCTGTGAATGAAAGCCCTCAACACTTGGGTGACTTTCATCTTTTCTCCAGGTTCATAGGGTTTCCTGAGGCAAGCTAATTATGGAAGTGGATGCCACTGCTGCTTCCAAGCTTGGTTGTTGTTGTTGTTGTTGTTGTTGTTGTTGTTATGTGCCGTCGAGTCGCTTGTGACTCATAGCGACCCTATGTACAACAGCCCTAAACTCTGCTCTGTCCTGTGCCAATAGCACTGTCTCTGACACTCCCATCCCGATTAACCCAGTCACTGAATCAATCCATCTCATAGAGGGCCTTCCCCTCCCGCTGTCCAAGCTTGGTAGCATTGCTTTTTGTCCATTGGGCCATCTGATCTCTCTCTATGTTATTAAGTGAAAGGATAGACTATTTGTAAAATAGTCAGCCCACAGAAATCCTGTAAAGCCCAGCTCTCCTCTCAGATTCATGAGGTTGCTCTGAGTTGGAATTGACTTAGTAACAACTGGATAATTCCTCTGAGAGCTATCCAACCCTGTTCCAGTGCTCAGCCCTCGAGGGCTGTGCTACATCTTTTGCTTACTCAGGTGATGGGCTGGACTATGATGGAGACAGAAAAACCCACCATCAAATACACAAAACAGCATGTAACCTTGGAATCACCGGTGAAAGTTAAGTGGGAGATCCTTGTGGGTTAAGAAGCCAAAGTGATTTCTTAAATGAGGTGAGATGAGATTTGGCATGATCACTGAATGAGGACACAGGATAGTTGCTCTAATAGAAAGCTCAAGGAAATTCATTCCTCCCAATTGAGATTGATTGCGGTGACTGTGGTCCTTCTTGCCTTATGTCTCCATACATGATAGCACCGAAGAGAGCTAACTTCTACTGAGCACTTACCATGCCATGGACTTGCATCAGCTAATTTAATCCTTATCACAATACTTTGAAGAAGATGGGATTCTCTCCCTCCTGAGTTGGTCTAGCAAAAGAAGTTCAGAATGAAGGTTGCCCATCTTTCTCCCATGGATTCAAATTGCCAGAGAGGTGTAGGGTTTGGATTAGCAGCTCAACTCCCTACTGGCTAGGTTTCAAGAGCTCCCTTGGGAAAAAACCATTTTGCCTCTGTGAATCTTACTCTTTTTCTTGTTTATGTCATTGTTTTTGTTATGTGCCTTTGAATCGCCTGCAACTCATAGTCACCCTACATACAACAGCCCTAAGCCCTTCTCTATCCTGTGTCAATCTTATTGTCTCTGACACACCTACCCTCATTACCCCAGTCACTGAATCTATCCATCTCATGAAGGGTTTTCCTCTCCTGTGCTGTTCCTCCACCATCCCAAGCACGACGTCCCTCTACAAGGACTGGTTCCTCCTTGCAACATGTCCAAAGTATGTTAGATGAAGCTTCAGAATGCTTACCTCCAAGGAGCAGCCTGGTGTCACCCTCTCTAGGATGAACTTGTTTGTTCTCCTAGCAGTCCATGGTATATTCAATACTCTTCTCCAGGACCACAGCTCAAAGGCTGTAATTCTCCTTCTATCATTCCTAGCCATTGTTCTGCTTTCTGATACATAGCCAGTAATGGAAAAGACTATGGCCTGAATCATTGTCATCAAGTCTCTTCCCCCTCGTGAAAACTCCATGTATACCAGAGTAGATCTGTGCTTTGTAAGGTCTTCAGGTCATGAATTTTCAGAAACAGATCAGCAGATATATCGTCTGAGGCACTTCTGGGTAGATTTGAACTTCTAACCTTTCAGAGAGTAGTTAGACTCTTCAACAATTTATGCCAGCAAACTTCATTTCTTAAGAGTAGTGAAAAATAACATCTCCTCTACCTATTTTTCAATATTTCTATGAAGAGAAGCTCAGGAATGAAGACCTTTTAGATAAGCCACATTCTAAAAATAAATAGAATTGCACTGTTTTTAAGAAGAGTGAACATTCTGTGTCTTCTTGCATAGCACATCTTCTATAGAGACCAGGACATGTGTTTACAAGGACAGAAATCTGAGTAATTGCTCACTGCCCCAAAGGGAATATTAAACTCCTCCGTCATTCTGTAGTCTGTTTTGATTATTGTTTTTTGGTTGTTGTTGGTCATTTTTTTAAAAAAAAAAGTAAGTTCAACTACATGTTCTCATAGAAAGTGATAAAATGTTCCATATGTTAAAAAAAAATCTTTTAAAAAAAATCTTTTCACTAAATCAAGAGCAAAGCAATACATTTTAGCCTTTAAAATAAAAAAAAAAAAAGAGGAGATATGACAAAGCAGAGACAGAATGAAAGCTGAGTTTTTTTGGAGGGGATCAGACAGATTCCACGTCAAATCCATGTTGATAAATCAGGAATCCTTTCTGAGAATCACATCTCTACCTGACACACGGAAATATGAAATTATTGAAAATTGTTAGGGTAACTGAAGGAAAAGCTGTCCAAATCATGCAGACATAGAAAAGATATTGTATTCCATTACACACTCTAGAGAACTTTTGCTGTTATGTCGCTCAGCCCTTGTCTCATAACAGCAGAATGCCTTGATGTTCCACATCACCCTTATGACTGGTTGCAGATTAAACTGCTGTGATTCATGGAGTGTCTTCTGGCTGATGTTTGAAAGGAGATTTCTAGATTTTTCTTCCTCATCTGCTCATTACTATCGAGTCAGAACCTACTCGTAGCTGACCCTCCAGCAGGTTTCTGAGGTTGAAAATCCTATGAGAGGAGATTGCCCATCTTTCTCTTGTGGAAACTGTTGCCACTGAAATCTGTTTAGCATCATAACAACACGAAAGCCTCAAATGACAAGTCCGACAGTGGCTGCGCAATGATGTTCATTGGAACTTGAACCACGGTCTCCCTCGTACAAGGCAAGGATTCTACTACTGAACTACCACTGCCCTTTAGGAGCTTTCAGGCATTAAAAATTCCACCTTCTCTGCAACCCTCATTCCGTACTCTTATGATAAACATAATGCCCTAAAATATAATACTTTTAAGTTATTCTCTCCCTCATAGACTT